CCGTCGCAATCGGTCAGGTGCGCTTGGCCAACGTGGGCGACGGCGACAACGACGTGCAGCACTAGGTGCCATGCCCTCTTGCATGGCTGGTGCGGTGACCAGCGTGATGTGTGTTGGGTGCACGCCGACGGGCTATTCTCGGAGCTGTACTGCCGTGCGGGCTAGGGGGGCCCAAGCGTGAACGCGGCAGAGGAGTGTCAACGGGAGTTGTGTGTTGGCCCCGTCCTCGCTTGGGCGGAGCCGACATTGTGGGCGGGTGTGAGGGGAACAGCCGACCTACAGCAGTGGGCGAGCTGGTTGACGACGAGGTCGACCTGCACCGGGACCACTGCACGGGCGCCAACTTCGGGGAGGTTGACTTGGGAGCCGACCTGCGGAGGATGTCAACTTGGGGAAGCCGACTTCGGTGGTCGGCTGATGGACCGCTGGTCGACCTGCGGGTGGTCGACTGGACCTGGTGGTCGACGAAGGAGGGGCTGACGTCGACCTCGACTCGGCGTCGAGTAACGGGGCGTTAACTTCGTGACGCCAACTTCGGGTGGCCGACGTGGGTGGTCGGCGGACGACTATGCTGGTCGACGAGGAGCAGGTCGACCAGGAGTACTGGTCGACGTAGAGTTGGTCGACCAGAAGAGACGTCGACCTGGAGGAGGTTGACCCATGGAGGTGGTCGTCGACTTGGGAGGTCGACGGGCACGTACGGGAGCTGCCGGTCGACGTGGTTATCTCGAGGTCGACGTGGCCGATCAGAGGCAGTCGTCAGCTCGAGGTTGACGTGGTGTGTGCGATGTGCAGGTGACGAGACTCTGCACGCCAATCATCTGTGCACACCTGCGAAGCGGGTGCACTGCTGTCCTGCGTGAGCAATGCTGGCACGCCGTCAACCTGCGACGTTGGCACGCCGTCGACCTCACCTTGCTGGAGCGCGGTCGACCAAGCCGTGCTGGAACGCGGTCAACCAAGCTGCGCTGGCATTTGGCCAACCTGAATGCTTGCTCTGATGTAGTCTTGCTATGCCAACTTCATTGTATCATTGTTCTGAACTTTTCCTAGTGAAACTTTTGCCAACTTTCCCCGTGAACTAGCAAGTAGTGTATGCACAAGGAAAACGGCAAAGGACTAACGAACGCAGAGATCACACGAGCACACGTGCCTAGCCCGTAGTCTTTCTCCCGTTGCAGCAGTTATCTCGGCATGGTACGGTGAGCGTGGAGGACACAGCGACGTAGTTCAGTCTAGCCGACTTAGCACATACCGATCGTGTTCGTAGACCGGCAGCCGTGTAGTCACTAGCGTGCACGTAGGCGACGCCGAGGTGATGGACACCCTGGAAGGACGGCTCGAGGATGCGAGGAGACGCCATGAGGCCCAGGAGTATGGGGCGATACCCTGGGCAGTCGTCGAAGCCGGACTCCGCTCCATGTGGGCAGCGGAGCACCCCCCTTCTCGACCTTCCTCTCCTCGACCGGTGAACAACGACGGCGGCGTCGATGTGGGCGTCAACGCCGGTGGAGGTCAGGTCGGCAGCAGTGTGGGAGGCACGTCGAGGCAACGAGGTGTGATACACGCCGGTGAAGCCGGCGGCGTTCAGGCGCGAGGGATGCAGTCGTCGGCGGCTGCAGGCTCCTCACATGGTGACGTCGGTGGGCGTCGAAGCGGATTGTCGCCGATGTCAGCGTCCCAGGTGACGGCAGGTGGGATTGCACCGAGCTACGGCTACTTCAAGTTTACGCCGGACAGACAGGATCTCGGTCACCCCTCCGCTGGTCGGTCGACCCGACATACTCACCTGGAAGGACGCCATCAAGCCCCAGCTGGAGATGGCCGGGCTGATCGGCTTCGCCTGAGGGACCGTGGCGACGCCGGGGGAGCACCACCCCGACCTGTGTGCGGAGTTTCGCGCCATGCAGCTGTTGACCTTCACTGTCATCTCGCGGTGCTGCTCGCCGGGCGTGCAGATCGCCTTGAAGTGGTGCCGGGAGTACATCGACGCCGGCCACCGGGCGTGGCACTTCATTGAGTCAACGTACCAGGTCACCGACGACCTGTTCATCGTTCAGCTGGAGGGACAGCTGACGCACTTGCGTATGGGTGACGAGGAGGCAGCGACTGACTACTGCAACCGGGCACGGCAAATTCTCGCCACTATCAGGATGGCCGGCGCGCAGTACTCCACGACGTCGTACATCACCCATGTCATGCAGGGTCTCTCTAGCAGCTACAACCTGCTGAAGCGGCTGTCTATGGCGCCGATCACAAGGGGGACGCTCAACGAGGACAACCTGACCTCGTATATCCTGCAGGACGAGGCAATGCAAGAGGCTGAGCGGTTGCAGGAGCTCTTGGCGCAGGCGAACTTGGTCACCTCAGCGAAGCAACGAGGCCGACCGGGGCAGCGCGGGCAGTCTGGCGGTGGTGGTAGCAGTGGCTGGAAGCCGGCCAACGAGGTCGACATGAGGAAGTCGACCAAGGACAGCGGTCGTGGAGGTGGAGGTCGACGTCGGGAGTGCTGGTTGTGCGGCGACCCCGACCATCTCTCCTTCGAGTGCCCCAACCGCAGTGACTCCGACGACGACGATGCTAAGGGAGGTCGTGGGAGGTCAGGCAGCCGTCGTCCTTGTCGTGGAGGAAACCAGCCGCGCAAGGAGAAGCAGTCGACCAAGACATCGACTTCGGCGAAGGACGCCGACTCCCCTACTGGCCGCAAGGGGCGAGACGACAAGACGGCGTCGTGCTCGCTGGTCGGCGTCGTGGAGCCGACCATCTCTCTGGCACCGGAGGCCAGAGAGGACTTCCAGGTGGTGGCGGCAGCTGTGCAGGCGAACCCGGCGGTGGTCCTGCTCGACAGCGGTTGCTCCCACCACCTGATGAGCATGAGGGAAGCCTTCGTCGACCTGCAGCCGAGCGGCGCCATCAGGCATGTGCGCGGCTTCAATGGGGCGCTGCAGGATGTCCAGGGCCGCGGCACCGTCGCTCTGCAAGGAGAGGCCGGGAAGGAGGTGCTCATCCCCGACGTGTTGTACGTCCCGTGTGTGCGAGCCAACCTGCTGTCGGCCGGCCAGCTGAAGGAGCATGGCGTGAAGCTGCAGGAGGACGGAGACGGCATGCTGCTCGTCTCGGCAGCAGGGGAGGTGCTCGGGCGGGCGACGTACTCTGGGCGAGTCCTCTGCACCGACCTGCGTCCCTGCACGACGACGTCAGCGTCGACCACGCTGGAGGTCGTGGCTCTGCGGGCGATCGTCTCGAAGACGAAGTCGACGCCGGACCGGATGCATGCGAGGCTTGCGCACGTCGGCATGGACACCATACGGAGCTCGGCGAAGAACGAGGTTGCCATTGGGCTGGACCTCAAGTCGGCGACGGACGCCAACTCCCGGTGTGTCTCGTGCGTCGGCGGGAAACTGGCGCGGCACACCTTCCCCGACCAAGGCTCCGACGCCGACAACGTGCTGGCCGTCGTGCACATCGACCTGTGCGGGCCGTTCCGCGTGACTGCCAAGGATGGCAGCCTGTACTTCTTGCTGCTGAAGGACCGCAAGACCCGCTACGTGTGGGTGAAGCCGATCGCCAAGAAGTCGGATGCGTTGCAAGCGTTCCTGCAGTGGCTGGTGGTGGCTGAGCGGCAGACGAAGAAGTCGGTGTTGATGCTGCGCTCAGACTGGGGAGGGGAGTCCCTCGGGAAGCAGTTCACCGACTTCGTGAACGGCAAGGGGATCGTCCACGACCTGACCTGCCCATACACCCCGAAGCAGAACGGCATGGCGGAGCGGGAGATGAGGACGGTGGTGGAGTCGGTGCGGACAATGCTGCTGCACATGGGTGTGCAGCACCACTGGTGGCACCTCGCTCTGCGGCAGGCCGTCTGGGTCCGCAACTGCCTTGAGAGGTCGACGCTGCCGCCGGGGATGACGCCGTACCAGCTGCTGACCGGGAAGAAGCCCGACTTGTCACTGGCATGGGGCTGCATGGCGCAGTTCCTTGTCCCTGAGCAGCAGCGTGGTGGGAAGCTGAAGCCGAAGGCCAGGTGGGGCCTGCACCTTGGCGTGTCGGTGGCGAGCAAGGGCTGGGAGCTCCTCGACGTCAACACCGACCGAGTGGTCACCACGTCAGACGTGGTGTTTTACGAGGAGATGTCGCTGGCCGAGTGGAAGACAGACCATGGGCCGGTGTCCGGCGGCTCGCAGTCCACTCCGCCCTCTGACACCTCGTCAGCGACGCTGCCGCTGCTTGCCGAAGTCGGTGAGCTTGCTACTGAGGACGTCGAAGACGTCCGCATCCCTACCCCTCCCCCTCTAACCCCTGCCCCTCCCCTCGTGGCCGACCTGCGTGGGCTGACCTCGGTGTCGGCCTTTGGCGATGAGGGGAGTCGTGGGACGCCGCCTTCGGCGCCGGCCAAGTGCATCGCCGGTGGCCGACGTGACGAGCGGCGAATCGACGTGGGATTGCAGTCAACAGGGGAGGAGCAGGTCGAGGAGCAGCAGCCGACAAGGGAGCAGGCTGCCGTGAAGCCGACCACGGAGCAGTCGGTGACCGGGCCGTCGGCAGGGGAGCCGACCACAGGGGAGAAGTCGGCTGGGAAGCCGATCACAGTGGAGCAGTTGGCTGGGACGCCGGCTGAGGAGCAGCAGGACGCCGAGGGCAGCGACGACAGCGACGATGGAGGGGATGCCGAGGGGGCCCAGCCGGGACCACGGCGTTCAGGCCGACTTCGGAGGCCGCCAGACTTCTTCGTCCCCGCTGCCTTCACCACGGTGTATGACGTGGACGATGACAACGACCTGCTGTACGATGACGCCGAGGAGGATGAGGAGTTTCCGGAGCTCGACCCCGACATGCTAGCCGACCCCGAGCACCGTTGGGACATCTCGACGATGACGGTGAAGGAGGCGTTGGCGAGCTGGAAGGGCCCTGCGGTGAAGGCCGCCATGGAGGAGGAGATTTGCAGCCTCATCAACATGGGCACTTAGGAGCTGGTCGAACGCCCGCCGGGGGTGAACGTCATGAAGAACCGGTGGGTGTTGATGACGAAGTACCACATCGACGACACCGTCGAGCGAGAGAAGGCGAGGCTGGTCGTGAAGGGCTTCACACAGGTGTACGGCGCCGACTACGACGAGACGTTCGCGCCGGTGAGCAGCTACGTCACGCTGAGGATCTTCCTCAGCATCGTCGCCGTCCTCAACCTCAACCTGATGTAGCTCGACATGAAGAACGCCTTCCTGCAGAGCAAGCTCGATCGGGTGCTGTACATGTCCCAGCCGGACTACTTCAACGATGGAACCGGCCGGGTGTGTAAGCTGCTGAAGAGCCTGTACGGGCTGAAGCAGTCGCCGCTGTTGTGGTACTTGGCGCTCAACGATGTGCTGGTCGGCGCCGGGTGGAAGAAGAGCCAGGTCGACGAGGCTCTTTACTTCAAGGTCGGCGAGGGTGGAGTGGCCTGCTGGGTGCTGGTCTACGTGGACGACCTGCTTGCCGCCAGCAGCAGCGTCGCGATGCTGAAGGAGCTGAAGGAGCTGCTGGAAGCTGCCTTCGAGCTGCGCGAGATCTCCCCGGTGCAGAAGTACCTCGGGCTGGAGATCGTGCACGACAGGTCGGCGGGGAAGCTGTGGCTGCATCAGCAGGGCTACACCGACAAGCTTCGTAGGCGCTTCATCGACGAGGAGCAGACCGGGCGCACCCCGAAGGCACCGGTCTCGGTCCGCGCCTACGCCGAGCTCACCTTTGATGACAAGGAGGCGCAGGAACGGCAGGAGGAGTACCGGCAGAAGGTCGGCTCGCTGCAGTTCGCGGCGACGACGACGAGGCCGGACATCGCCTTCGCCTGCAGCAAGCTGGGGAGCGGCCTCACGGTGAGAAGCAACCAGCACTGGCGCGAGGTCGACCGCTGCCTCGCATACCTCGCCAACACGCGTGACACCGCCCTGGAGTTCAGCGGTGGACGTGAGTCACTGGAGCTGGTCGGCTACGTGGACGCCGACGACGCTGGAGACAAGCAGAACAGGACGAGCACGAGCGGCTACGTGTTCATCTACGGAGAAGCTGCAGTCTCCTGGTCGAGCCAGCGCATCAAGTGCGCGACGTTGTCGCCGACCGAGTCGGAGTACGTGGCGGCCACTGAAGGTGGCAAGGACGGACGCCGCCTTCGCTTCCTCCTCGCCGAGTTCCGGCAGCTGGACGCCGGAAATCCGACTGTCCTGCGCATGGACAACAAGTCGGCCATCACGGTCGCCAAGGGCATGGGGTTGACAGGCAACCTCAAGCACATGGAGCGGCGACAGGCCTGGCTGCAGCACATGGTGAAGCGCAGAAAGTTCTTGCTGCAGTACATCCCAACCGCTGAGCAGCCAGCCGACTTTCTAACGAAGGCGCTGCACTATCCGGCCTTCAACCGGTGCTCCGTCGCAATCGGTCAGGTGCGCTTGGCCAACGTGGGCGACGGCGACAACGACGTGCAGCACTAGGTGCCATGCCCTCTTGCATGGCTGGTGCGGTGACCAGCGTGATGTGTGTTGGGTGCACGCCGACGGGCTATTCTCGGAGCTGTACTGCCGTGCGGGCTAGGGGGGCCCAAGCGTGAACGCGGCAGAGGAGTGTCAACGGGAGTTGTGTGTTGGCCCCGTCCTCGCTTGGGCGGAGCCGACATTGTGGTCGGGTGTGAGGGGAACAGCCGACCTACAGCAGTGGGCGAGCTGGTTGACGACGAGGTCGACCTGCACCGGGACCACTGCACGGGCGCCAACTTCGGGGAGGTTGACTTGGGAGCCGACCTGCGGAGGATGTCAACTTGGGGAAGCCGACTTCGGTGGTCGGCTGATGGACCGCTGGTCGACCTGCGGGTGGTCGACTGGACCTGGTGGTCGACGAAGGAGGGGCTGACGTCGACCTCGACTCGGCGTCGAGTAACGGGGCGTTAACTTCGTGACGCCAACTTCGGGTGGCCGACGTGGGTGGTCGGCGGACGACTATGCTGGTCGACGAGGAGCAGGTCGACCAGGAGTACTGGTCGACGTAGAGTTGGTCGACCAGAAGAGACGTCGACCTGGAGGAGGTTGACCCATGGAGGTGGTCGTCGACTTGGGAGGTCGACGGGCACGTACGGGAGCTGCCGGTCGACGTGGTTATCTCGAGGTCGACGTGGCCGATCAGAGGCAGTCGTCAGCTCGAGGTTGACGTGGTGTGTGCGATGTGCAGGTGACGAGACTCTGCACGCCAATCATCTGTGCACACCTGCGAAGCGGGTGCACTGCTGTCCTGCGTGAGCAATGCTGGCACGCCGTCAACCTGCGACGTTGGCACGCCGTCGACCTCGCCTTGCTGGAGCGCGGTCGACCAAGCCGTGCTGGAACGCGGTCAACCAAGCTGCGCTGGCATTTGGCCAACCTGAATGCTTGCTCTGATGTAGTCTTGCTATGCCAACTTCATTGTATCATTGTTCTGAACTTTTCCTAGTGAAACTTTTGCCAACTTTCCCCGTGAACTAGCAAGTAGTGTATGCACAAGGAAAACGACTAAGGACTAACGAACGCAGAGATCACACGAGCACACGTGCCTAGCCCGTAGTCTATCTCCCGTTGCAGCAGTTATCTCAGCAGGTGGAGTCCGCACCCCCGCACTGCTCACCCGCGCGGTCGCCGGTGCGTAGGACGTAGGTGCACGGACCAATACCCCCACCCCGCTGGCGTTGACCACCACCGGAGCCGACCCTCTGCACAGCGCCACCCCGACCAGCTGCGCCTCCTCCGCCGCCGCCTCCTCCTCCGCCGCCACCTCCGCCACCTCCGCTCCCACCGCCACCGCTGCCTCCGGCTCCGCATCCACTGCCGCCACCGACACCTCCACCCCCGCCACCACTCCCACCACCACCCCCACCCCCTCCACTGCCTCCACCGCCACCTCCGTCACCCCCGCCAGCCCCTCCAGCACCCTTGCCCCCCTTGCCCTTGCCGGTGCGGCGTCTCCGGATCGGGGCAGACGCAGCGCCGACCGACTCGAAACCAACGAGGTCGGCTGCAGCAGTTGAGGCAATAGAGGGCAAAAAGGGGGAGGGGGAACAACCCTCAAAGACAGGGGTGCGAGGGTCACCACGAGAGGCTCCTAGAGCGAATATGCTCTTCTCTGCTGCTAGGAGGGCCTTCTAGAGGAGGTCAACGGTGAGAGTGGTGGGGCAAACTGAGAGGAAGTGGTCCCTGACTACGCGGAGAGGGTCAGGGAGTCGGGCGACTATGTAGTAGAGGGTGATGTACATGGGGGGGGGGGGGGGGGGGGAGGGGGTTTGGCGCAGAACTCAGCAGGAAGCGCAGCGCGGTAGCGAGTGTCACTAGTGAGGTCAGTGACTGTGGGAAAGGCAGCAAGGTCAAGGAAGAGGTACGGTAGCATGAGGCGGCTCAGTGCAGCAGTGGAAGGGGAGGAGTAGCATGCAACTACAGTGTCGTACAAGGTCTGAGCACTCTTGTACTGGCTAAAGTGCGCACGCTCAGAGGTAGGCAGGTGGCAACGCACAGTAAGACGTGCAGCAGCATCGCGTGTGGCCCACTGTGAGCGAACAGTGGCGTCAGCATCAGCAGCAGGGGCAGGAGAGGCACCAGAAGTGAGGTCAAAGAGGGAGAGACCGTCTGCCCTATCGCACTGTAAGAAAAGCTGCAGGTCATCTACCCAGACGTCAAAGTCAATGGCCCGACCCTCAGCGTCAAAAGCGAGGGCACTAGGGGTAGCCATGAGAGCAGTAGACTAGCAGCGAGAACACTAGGGTAAGGGCAGTGCAGTGATAGAGGCGCTGCTCTTACCGGACAGGGCGGCTCGGGCGGCTCGGCGGTGCGGGCGGCTCTGGCGGTACGGCGGCTCGGCAGCAACTACGGCTCGTCGGTGCGGGCTTCTGCCTGAGCTTCTGCCCGCCGTGCGCCCTGGGCGCGCGGCGTCTTCCTGCCCCGCGCGTGGCCTGCCCTCACACCGCCTGCGCGCCTGCCTCACGTCCACGGGCGGGCCTGATTTGCCCGCCCGTACCCTCCACTTCGCGGCGCCCTGCGAGGCGCCGCTCCTGCTCGTCGCGACGCACCGGCGGGACCCAGGCGTCGCCACTCCTGCTCGTCGCGACGCCCCTGCAGGATCCGCAAGGCGTCGCCTTGCTCGTCGTGACGCCACTGCGGGACCCGCGGGGCGTCGCCACTGCTCGTCGCGGCGCCCCCTGGACGCCGGCCCTACTCGTCGCGGCGCCCCTGGGGCGTCGCCCGTGCTCGTAGCGGCACTCCTTGGGCGCCGTCCCTGCTCGTCGCGGCGCCCTCCCCCCTGGCCACCGCCTCTGCCTCACCTGCGCCCGCGCCAGCGTTGCAGCCGAGCGCGGGCCTACCTTGCACCAGCACCGCCCCTGGACCTCAGCAGCAGCGCCTGGAGCAGCCGCCCCAGCAGCAGCAGCCTCTGGAGCCGCCGCCCAAACAGCAGCAGCCTCTGGAGCTGCCGCCACTGCAACGGCCGCCCCAGCAGCAGCAGCGCCTGGAGCAGCCGCCCCAGCAGCAGCAGCCTCTGGAGCCGCCGCCCCAGCAGCAGCAGCGCCTGGAGCAGCCGCCCCAGGCGCAGCAGCCCCTGGAGCCGCCGCCCAAACAGCAGCAGCCTCTGGAGCTGCCGCCACTGCAGCGGCCGCCCCAGCAGCAGCAGCGTCTGGAGCAGCCGCCCCAGCAGCAGCAGCGCCTGGAGCAGCCGCCCCAGCAGCAGCAGCCCGTGGAGCCGCCGCCACTGTAGCAGCCGCCCCAGGCGCAGCAGCCCCTGGAGCCGCCGCCCAAACAGCAGCAGCCCTAGGAGCTGCCGCCACTGCAGCGGCCGCCCCAGCAGCAGCAGCGTCTGGAGCAGCCGCCCCAGCAGCAGCAGCGCCTGGAGCAGCCGCCCCAGCAGCAGCAGCCCGTGGAGCCGCCGCCACTGCAGCGACCGCCCCAGCAGCAGCAGCGCCTGGAGCAGCCGCCCCAGCAGCAGCCCACGGCGCCGACCCCACAGCTGTATGCACTGCCACTCCTGGACACGGTATGGCTGCCCGTGCCTGTGCTGCCTGTTGCTGTCTGTGCCTGTGCTGCCTGTTGCTGCCTGTGCTTTTGCTGCCCGTTGCTGCCCGTGCCTGTGCTGCCTGTTGCTACCTGTGCTTGTGCTGCCTGTTGCTGCCTGTTGCTGCCCGTGCCTGTGCTGCCTGTTGCCGCCCGTTGCTGCCCGTGCCTGTGCTGCCCGTTGCTGCCAGTGCCTGTGCTGCCTGTTGCCGCCCGTTGCTGCCAGTGCCTGTGCTGCCTGTTGCCGCCCGTTGCTGCCCGTGCCTGTGCTGCCCGTTGCCGCCCGTTGCTGCCCGTGCCTGTGCTGCCCGTTGCTGCCAGTGCCTGTGCTGCCTGTTGCCGCCCGTTGCTGCCTGTGCCTGTGCTGCCTGTTGCCGCCCGTTGCTGCCCGTGCCTGTGCCGCCCGTTGCCGCCCGTTGCTGCCCGTGCCTGCGCTGCCCGTTGCCGCCCGTTGCTGCCCGTGCTTGTGTTGCCTGTTGCTGCCCGTTGCTGCTCGTGCCTGTGCTGCCTGTTGCCGCCCGTTGCTGCCCGTGCCTGTGCTGCCTGTTGCTGCCCGTGCCTGTGCTGCCTGTTGCCGCCCATTGCTGCCCGTGCCTGTGCTGCCCGTTGCCGCCCGATGCTGCCCGTGCCTGTGCTGCCTGTTGCCGCCCGTTGCCGCCCGTTGCTGCCCGTGCCTGTGCTCGTTGCTGCCAGTGTCTGTGCTGCCTGTTGCCGCCCGTTGCTTCCCGTGCCTGTGCTGCCTGTTGCCGCCCGTTGCTGCCCGTGCTTGTGCCGCCCGTTGCTGCCCGTGCCTGCGCTGCCCGTTGCCGCCCGTTGCTGCCCGTGCCTGTGCTGCCTGTTGCCGCCCGTTGCTGCTCGTGCCTTTGCTGCCTGTTGCCGCCCTGCTTCTGCCTGCGCCCTCGTGCGCTCTGCTGCTGCCTGCGCCCTCGTGCGCCCTGCTGCGGCCCGCGCCCTTGTGCGCTCTGCTCTGCCTGCGCCCTCGTGCGCTCTGCTGCTGCCCGTGCCCTCGTGCGCCCTGCTGCTGCCCGCGCCCTTGTGCGCTCTGCTCTGCCTGCGCCCTCGTGCGGTCTGCTGCTGCCCGTGCTCTCGTGCGCCCTGCTGCTGCCCGCGCCCTTGTGCGCTCTGCTCTGCCTGCGCCCTCGTGCGCTCTGCTGCTGCGCGCGCCCTCGTGCGCCCTGCGTTTTCCCCCGTCCAACGTTTTCCCCCGTCCAACGTTTTCCTCCGTCAAACGTTTTCCCCCGTCCAACGTTTTTCCGCGTTTAACGTTTTCCCCAGTCCAACGTTTTCCCCTGTCCAACCTTGGACAGCGTCAAACGTTTTCCCGCGTCCAACATTTTCCCCTGTCCAACGTTTCCCCCGTCCAACATTCTCCCCGACCAACATTTTCCCGCGTCCAACGTTTTCCCACGTTCAACAATTTCCCCCGTCCAACATTTTCCACCATCCAATATTTCCCCCGTCCAACATTTTCCCCCGTCCAATGTATCCCCCTGTCCAGCATTTTCCCGCGTCCAACATTTTCTCCTGTCCAACATTTTCACGCGTCCGACATTTTTCCGCGTCCAAGATTTTCCCGCGTCCAACATTTTCCCGCGTCCAACATTTTCCCCCGTCCAACGTTTTCTCGCGTCTAATATTTCCCCCGTCCAACATTTTCCATCGTCCAATATTTCCCCCATCCCACATTTTCCCCCGTCCAACATTTTCCCGCGTCCAACATTTCCCCCCGTCTAACATTTTCCCGCGTCCAACATTTTCCCCGCGTCCAACGTTTTCCCGCGTCCAACGTTTTCCCGCGTCCAACATTTTGCCCCGTCCAACATTTTCCCCCGTCAAACGTTTTCCCCCGTCCAACGTTTTCCTCCGTCCAACGATTTCCCCCGTCCAACGTTTTCCTGCGTCAACAGAAACCGCGTCCAACGTTTTTTCCGCGTCCAAAGTTTTCCCGCGTCCAACGTTTTCCCCTGTCCAATGCTTTTCCCCGCCCAACATTTCCCTCGTCCAACATTTTCTCGCGTCCAATGTTTTCTCGCGTCTAACATTTTCCACCGTCCAATATTTCCCCCGTCCAACATTTTCCCCCGCCCAACATTTTCCCGCGTCCAACGTTTTCCCGCATCCAACGTTTTCCCGCGTCCAACGTTTTCACGCGTCCAACTTTTTCCCGCGTCCAACGTTTTCCCGCGTCCAACTTTTTCCCGCGTCCAACGTTTTCCCCCGTCCAACATTTTGCCCCGTCCAACATTTTGACCTGTCCAACGTTTTCCCTCGTCCAACGTTTTCCTCCGTCCAACGTTTTCCCGCGTCCAACGTTTTCCCGCGTCCAACGTTTCCCCGCGTCCAACGTTTTCCTGCGTCCAACATTTCCCCGCGTCCAACGTTTTCCCCTGTCCAAGATTTTGCCCCGTCCAACATTTTGACCCGTCCAACGTTTTCCCCTGTCCAACGTTTTCCTGCGTCCAACGTTTGGACACAAAAATGTTGGACACGGGAATGTTGGACTCGAGAATGTTGGACACACGAGAATGTTGGACACGAGAATGTTGGACACATTAATGTTGGATACGAGAATGTTGGACAAGAGAATGTTTGACGCAAAAATGTTGGACACGAGAATGTTGGACTCGAGAATGTTGGACTCGAGAATGTTGGACTCGAAATGTTGGACTCGAGAATGTTGGACTCGAGAATGTTGGACTCGAAAATGTTGGACTCGAAAATGTTGGACAGACGAGAATGTTGGACTCGAGAATGTTGGACTCGAGAATGTTGGACTCGGGAATGTTGGACTCGAGAATGTTGGACTCGGGAATGTTGGACGTGAGAATGTTGGACACTCGAGAATGTTGGATGCGAAAATGTTAGACTTGATGATGTTAGACTCGATAATGTTGGACTCGTTAATGTTGGACTCGAGAATGTTGGGACACTCGAGAACGTTGGACTCGAGAATGTTGGACTCGAGAAAGTTGGACACACGAGAATGTTGGACACGAGAATGTTGGACACGAGAATGTTGGACTCGAGAATGTTGGACTCGAGAATGTTGGACGCGAGAATGTTGGATGTGAGAATGTTGGACGCGAGAATGTTGGACGCGAAAATGTTGGACACGAGAATGTTGGGCTCGAGAATGTTGTGTTGACTACTATTGAGACTAGGAACCTCTAAGCGCACCTTTAATCACCACTCAGTTATCCCAACGGGGTCACCTCCAAGGGTCCTCGGGTGCCTGGTAAAACGTTGGCAGCGAATTCAATTGATGCCTCAGGCCGCGCGTGTGCCACGATTGGCACACTCCCATGATTGCGCAACATGCGCAACAGTGCTCGGGCTCATGGCCTTGAGCCTTGACCACCTCGATAAGGCGAATCCCCTTAAGCCTCACGAACAAACACAAAATTTCAAACGAACTCATTAAAACAACTCAAAATGCAACTCACAAACTTCACCTGAAAACCACGAACTCACACGAAATCAAACGAACGCTTCACGAACAGACTCATGAACATTCACGACACTTTCACGAACACTCGTGACTCGCAGATCACATGAAATAACACGAACACACGCCTTCACATACAGAAACCCATGAACAGTCACAAATGCAACCCTTCACGAAAACACTCATAACTCATGAACCGTCGAGGCGATTCACAAACCGTAAATGCTCAAACGTAAAGCACAGAAAAGTGCACCTCTCACACAGCAAATTACCTTCAACCAGAAAACTTCACTTACCTTCACCGCCGGCGAATAGGCAGTAGGTTGACATGCAAAACACTTTTGCACTCAACATGTTAGACACACGAGAATGTTGGACACGAGAATATTGGACACGAGAATGTTGGACTCGATAATGTTGGACTCGATAATGTTAGACTCGATAATGTTTGACTCGAGAATGTTGGACTCAAGAATGTTAGACTCGAGAATGTTGGACTCAATAACGTTGGACTCGAGAATGTTGGACAAACGAGAATGTTGGACTCGATAATGTTGGACTCGAGAATGTTGGACTCGGAAATGTTGGACTCGAGAATGTTGGACTCGGGAATGTTGGACGCGAGAATGTTGGACCCGAGAATGTTGGACTCCTAAACGTTGGACTCGAGAATGTTGGACTCGTAAACGTGGGACTCGAGAATGTTGGACAGACGAGAATGTTGGACTCGAGAAAGTTGGACTCGAGAATGTTGGACACGAAAATGTTGGACACGAGAATGTTGGACTCGAAAATGTTGGACACACGAGAATGTTGGACACACGAGAATGTTGGACACGAGAATGTTGGACACGCGAATGTTGGACTCGAGAATTATGGCCTCGATAATGTTGGACTCGAGAATGTTGGACACAATAATGTTAGACTCGGGAATGTTGGATACGAGAATGTTGGACTCGAGAATGTTGGACACAATAATGTTAGACTCGGGAATGTTGGATACGAGAATGTTGGACACGAGAATGTTGGACTAGAGAATGTTGGACACGAGAATGTTGGACACTCGGGAATGTTGAACTCGAGAATGTTGGACGCGAGAATGTTGGACACCCGAGAATGTTGGACTCGAGAATGCTCAAGCAGGCACTTGGTCCAAGCAGGCACTTGGTCCAAGCAAGCACTTGGTCCAAGCAAGCACTTGGTCCAAGCAAGCCTCACTTGGTCCAAGCAAGCATTTGGTCCAAGCAAGCCTCGCTTGGTCCAAGCCTCGCTTGGTCCAAGCAAGCATTTGGTCCAAGCAAGCACTTGGTCCAAGCAAGCACTTGGTCCAAGCAAGCAATTGGTCCAAGCAAGCACTTGGTCCAAGAAAGCACTTGTTCCAAGCAAGCACTTGTTCCAAGCAAGCATCTGTTCCAAGCAAGCACTTGGTCCAAGCAAGCACTTGATAACATTTTCCCGCGTCCAACATTTTCCCGCGTCTAACATTTTCCCGCGTCCAACATTTCCCCCCGTCTAACATTTTCCTCCGTCCAACGTTTTCCCGCGTCCAACGTTTTCCCGCATCCAACGTTTTCACCCGTCCAACGTTTTCCCGCGTCCAACGTTTTCCCGCGTCCAACGTTTTCACGCGTCCAACGTTTTCCCGCGTCCCAACTTTTTCTCGCGTCCAACGTTTTCCCCCGTCCAACATTTTGCCCCGTCCAACGTTTTGACCTGTCCAACGTTTTCCCCCATCAAACGTTTTCCTCTGTCCAACGTTTTCCCGCGTCCAACGTTTTCCCGCGTCCAACGTTTTCCCGCATCAAACGTTTTCCCGCGTCCAACGTTTTCCCCTATCCAACGATTTCCCCTGTCCAACATTGGACAGCGTCCAACGTTTTCCCGCGTCCTACATTTTCCCCCGTCCAACAATTTCACCCATCCAACATTTCCCCCGTCCAACATTCTCCTCGTCCAACATACTACCGCGCCCAACGTTTTCCGGCGTTCAATGTTTTCCCTCATCCAACAATTTCCACCGTCCAATATTTCCCCCGTCCAACATTTTCCCCCGTCCAACATTTTCCCGCGTCCAACATTTCCCCCCGTCTAACATTTTCCCGCGTCCAACATTTTCCCGCGTCCAAGCAAGCACTTGGTCCAAGCAAGCACTTGGTCCAAGCAAGCACTTTGTCCAAGCAAGCACTTGGTCCAAGCAAGCATTTGGTCCAAGCAAGCCTCATTTGGTCTAAGCAAGCATTTGGTCCAAGCAAGCACTTGGTCCAAGCAAGCACTTGGTCCAAGCAAGCACTTGGTCCAAGCAAGCACTTGGTCCAAGAAAGCACTTGTTCCAAGAAAGCATCTGTTCCAAGCAAGCACTTGGTCCAAGCAAGCACTTGATAACATTTTCCCGCGTCCAACATTTTTCCGCGTCCAACATTTTCCCGCGTCCAACATTTTGCCCCGTCCAACATTTTGCCTCGTCCAATTTTCCCCCGTCCAAAATTTCCCCCGTCCAACGTTTTCCCGCGTCCAACCTTTTCCCGCGTCCAACGTTTTCTCGCGTCCAACATTTCCCCGCGTCCAACGTTTTCCCCCGTCCAACATTTTGCCCCGTTCAGCATTTTGACCCGTCTAACGTTTTCCCCTATCCAACGTTTTCCCGCGTCCAACGTTTTCCAGTGTCCAACGTTTTTCGGCGTCCAACGTTTGGACACAAAAATGTTGGGCACGTGAATGTTGGACTCGAGAATGTTGGACACACGAGAATGTTGGACACGAGAATGTTGGACAAATGAATGTTGGACACGAGAATGTTGGACAAGAGAATGTTTGACAC